ATTCTGATCCTGTTTATTATAAAGTAATGCACATTACGCAGTTTGTCAGGTTTTGCATTGACAGTACAGTGCAGGGCTTCTCTATTGCTCTCAAGCTCTGAGACTTGTTCTCTGTTGCAGGAACAGCAGCATGTAAAAAGTTAAAGTAACCCGGCACTTTCAATCGTTGCAGGATTAAACAGGATTTGATCATTTAAAATGCCAAAGTTATTTTTGGTATTTCTATACAATGGCTGAAAACAGAGCTCCCACCTGCAATAAACATAGACTCAGTTCTGTTTTCCAAACAAATGGAACTCTGGATGAGCTTTTCTTCTGGGATCCTTCTCAATCCTTCATATTTTGGAGCTAGGAAACATTTATCAAAACTTGGAACCACTCCACAGGGCACTGATTATCTACTGATTCTATTAACTGCTAACAGGAAATATTACACTCACTTTTCATGAAGCTGTAGTTGTTTCTTGATGTTCATTAACTTTCATGTTTCCCTGTTTGGCAATTTATGAACTGCATCTGGAGAAAACATCAAGAGTCATGACCAGGCCCCTGGATGCTACAGCCAGGTCATCAATTCCCAGTCAGCCACCTCTGAAATTGATGCAGCAAGAATTACTTTTTATATATTATCAAAATAAAGTTTATAAACAAATAATTATCATGGAGAACCTGGTGATTTGATTCTCAGTCAGCTTGTTGTGAGGAAATCATAAAGCTCTTATTCCAAATATTTTTTTTTTCAGTTGTTCTCCTTTAGGCTACATCTCCATATTTTTGTCTGCTTTTCCTCAACAATCCTATGAACAATATTATCTTGCTGTCTCAATATTGCTAATATAGACGGGTGTTTCCTGTTAAATTTATTTATTTTTTACTTCCTCCTTTGTTCAGAAGGCTGCACATTTGAATTCTAGTATTTCTAGGAACTAGGCCTAGGCATATTAGTACCGGCACAATTAAATGGAGTTTGATATTTAAAGAGGACAGGATCTGATTCAGATTTGATTTCGACATAAGTGCACATTCCAATTTAGACTAATGCCAACAATGGGGCTATTGTCCAAGTATGTAAGGGGCAGAGTTTGGCTAGTGACATCATAACATGTATTGTATTTCATCACAGCTCACCTCCTCATGGATACCTAAGATTTCAACTAGTTCAAAATTCCTTGTTCAAAATTTGTTCATGAGCTATATAATGTCTGAAACTACTTTTTTTAGTCCAATAAGAGGTAGACCTATTAGAAGAAAATATCCATACAAAGTTTCAGTATATGCCATCTACAGTTTACTGCCATCAGATTTGAAATATCTCCCTTCTGCCCCTTTCAGCAGAGACTGCAAGGAAGGATTTTCCTCTAGACTTTCTATCAAAAATTCTTTAGAGAAGCTGTTCCATTGCAGTAAGTATTTTCTTCCAATTTAACAAGGCAAAGTTTCCAAAACATGTTTACATTTGCTGTTTTTTGGGGGACTGCAAGGCGATTAAACCGATCAGTCCTAGAGGAGATCAACCCTGACTGCTCTTTAGAAGGCCACATCCTGAAATTGAAACTCAAGTACTTTGGCCACCTAATGAGAAGGAAAGACTCACTGGAGAAGAGCCTAATGCTGGGAAAGATTGAGGGCAATAGAAGAAGGGGACGACCGAGAATGAGATGGCTGGATGGAGTCACTGAAGCAGTAGGAGTGAGCTTAAGTGGACTCCAGAAGATAGTAGAGGACAGGAAGGCCTGGAGGAACGTTGTCCATGGGGTTGCAATGAGTTGGACACGACTTCACAATTAATAACAACTTGTCTTGGCATGAAAGTGACCACTGAGATTCCCTTCATGGATGAGGTGCTTCATTGCCCCAGTCCTGGATTTTCTGGGGTGCTGAGAGTTTGTTTTTTTGGGATGCTCATTGACAGGTGTGGTATCCCTTCATCGATAACTTTGATGAAATACTAACCTGAGCAGGACATGCTAACATAAGAACAAGGCCAGGATAGGACTAAGAACGGTGACCCGTTCCTTTGGGAGCAGCAAAGCTTTATTTTCTTTGAGTTACCAGGATGCTTGGCCCAGATAGTTGGCAATCTTTTCTTTCTGGAAAGGTCTTCCTCATCCCTAACAGTATTTGATCCTATTAGAGTTGTGGATTGATACTAATATTGCCTGTTCGTTCATTAGAAGAAGCAGGAGAAGCAGTTTGGCTACAGAGAAAGAGAATGGCATGTAGAAGATGGTGCTGTAATCAAAGTTAAGTAAGATGCTTAGATAACCACCTTGCTTCCTATATTCTCTCATGCCTTGAATGACTTTAAGAGGTCCCAGCCTTGCAAGAACGTTGAAGCAAGGCTTGACCCGGGCAGTCAACCTTGAATCTATATTAAGAATATCAAGAGCTAAATTGTGCAGACAAGAGTAGTTTTTCATTTAGTGCAGTGTTTTTCAACCTAGGCAACTTGACGATGTGTGGACTTCAATTCCCAGAATTTATCAGTCATTTTGAGAATGGAAATCCACACATCTTCAAGCTGTCAAGGTTGAGATACGCTGATTTAGTACAAGAGGGACTACGAAAAGTCGAGAGCCTTGAAACCACCCCATTTATAAGAGGACAGCATTCTGCTTGCTGATCAATAGAATGGTAAGTGTGAGCAAACAGGATGTCTCTCATTTGGGGAGTCACATCTATTCACAGGTTTATACTCCAAGAATACATGGGAACAGCTCTCTGATTAGGCCTGTGCACCAATTCATTTACTGCTGATTTGCCACTTAATCCTGCCCTAGGCTCATCTGACAAGTCTTGGGTTGTGCCTGGCAGGTGAGCAGCTTTGTCTATCGGTCTTCAAAGATGTAACTGTCAAATGTAAAGAGACCTGTGAGCATCTTCTTCCCCTCTTGGACCACTTGCTTTCTTGAGAACAGCTGTCCGGTGGCAAATGTCAGTGTAACTTAAACTCAGCAAGGGCGGCTAAAACTTACTGAATCCAGCTTTGTAAGACAACTTTCATCCCGTCTCTCACCATCTCTCTCTTTTTTTTTAGGGAAGATCATTCAGATGATTGGAAAACAATTTCAAAATACCAGCGAGGAAATGGATGATCTGGTTTATCTTTATGGACAGGGCTCAAGCGGGAGTATTTCTCCGGTTCTGCCAAGCTGTCCCTGGATGGAGGTGTGTGAATCCTTTGCAGGCAGGAGGGAACAAGCCAAAATGAGGGAGGGGCTCAGCTGCTAATCAATCAATCAATCGATCGATCAATCAAAAAGAATAGAGTTGGAAGGGACCTTGGAGGTTTTCCAGTCCAACCCCCTGCTCAAGCAGGAGGTTTTATACCATTCCAGACAAGTGGCTGTCCAGTCTCTTCTTAAACACCTCCAGGGATGGGGTACCTACAACTTCTGAAGGCAAGCTGTTCCATTGGTTGTTTTCACTGTTAGGAAGTTTCTCCTTAGTTCTAGGTTGGTTCTCTCCTTGATTAGTTTCTGTCCATTGTTTCTTGTCTTGCCTGCTGGTGCTCTAGTGCCTTGGAAATCACCCTCTTCTTTGTGGCAGCCCCTCAAATATTGGAACACTGCTACCATATCAAGCCTACTCCTTCTTTCCTCTAGACCAATGATGGTGAACCTTTTAGAGACCGAGTGCCCAAACTGCAACCCAAAACCCACTTATTTATTGCTGGGTGCCAGGTGGGTGTGGTCCCCTTGGTGGGCGTGGCTGTGGTGGTCATGGCAGATTGGGTGGGTGTGGCCAAGGTGGACGTGATCACCTCAGTGTTGCTCGTGGGGAGGGACGCCAGTTGGGGCCGGGCAGGGTTGGAGATCCAGGGGGTCTCTGGCAGGTGGGGCGGTGGGCAGGAGGCTCTTCCTATGGGGTGAAGCGAGGCAAGGTGAGGCAGGGTGGGGGTGCCATTGTCACAGGGCAAGGTGAGGCAGGCCGGGACGGCTGCTGCCTGACACCATCAGCCCCTGCACACAGGCCAGCGAGCGCATGGGTGCTGGGATGCATCCGGCCATGTAGGACCTCGGTGAGTTAGTGGGCAGCTGGCTGAAGAGGGACGGTTGCCATCTCCAGGGCATGGCGCACATGCCCACAGAGAGGGCTCTGAGTGCCGCCTCTGGCACGCGTGCCATAGGTTCGCCACCACTGCTCTAGACTGACTATGCCTGGTTCCTGCAACTGTTCTTCATATGTTTTTGTCTCCAGGTCTTTAATCATCTTAGTTGCTCTTCTTTGCACTTTATCCAAAAACCTCCAGTGATGAAGTGCCCACAACCTCTGTAGGCAAGCCTTTGCACTGGTTGATTGTCCTCACTGTTAGGAAGTTTCTCCTCAATCCCAGGTTGCTTTTCTCCTTGATTAGTTTCCATCGATTGTTTCTTGTCTTGCCTTCTGGTGCTTTGGAAAATAAGTTGACCCCCTCTTCTTTGTAGCAGCCCCTCAAATACTGAAATACTGCTATCCTGTCACCCCTAGTTTTTCTTTTCTGTAGACTAGCCATACCCAATTCCTGCAACCGTTCTTCATATGTTTCAGTCTCCAGGTCCTTAATCATCTTAGTTGTTCTTCTTTGCACTTTATCTAAACACCTCCAGTGACGAAGTGCCCACAACTTCTGTAGGCAAGCCTTTGCACTGGTTAATTGTCCTCACCGTTAGGAAGTTTCTCCTTAATGCCAGGTGGCTTCTCTCCTTGATTAAGACTAGGGGCAGGGACGCCCAACGTGCCAGTTCTGGCGAAACTTCGCCTGCAGCATTTGAGCTTTCCATGCCGGCTAATTTTGCTGGCCCCGAGGCGCGCTGCCGGCAGGGGCTGCAATCGATCCGGCAGCTGAAAATCACCTTCGATCTGGAGGTGTTTTTTCCCCCTCGGTCTAAGACCTGCCTCCCGGCGGCTGGCTTTAGAAGAAGGCGGCCTCCGTCCCACTCGACTTCCGCGGAAAAGACAGCCGGCCTGGGCACGTGCGCCGCCGCCGAGCCTTCCCGGGCTTCTCGGAAGGCAGGAAGGCGGACGCTTTTAAGCGCCCGCGGCGGGCTGCCAGCTGCCCGGCTCGGAGGCGCAGCTCCCTCTACAGGCAGCCGCGGCGGGTGAGCCGGGTGTCGGGTTGCCCGGAAGCGCCTCCAGCCTTTACCCGAGCTCGCCCGCTCGCCGGTCCGGCCGCCTTCTCTGCCCGAGGGGAAGTCTTGGCCTCCCGAGGCCGCCGCGCAGGCTCCTCGGCTTTCTCCCGGCGGGGTCGGCGAGCGGCTGGAGGGCTGCCGATGGAGGCGCTTCCCTCCCGGGACGAGAAACCGAACCCTTCGTGGGAGGCCAACTTCTGCTCGCGGCTCTTCTTCTGGTGAGTCGCCGGCGTCCCCCGGGCTCCCCGCCCCACCGTCCCCGCTTTGCTCCCGAATCAGCCGCTTCCCCGCGAATGAATGGAGGCAGGCAGCCGGCCGGCTTCGAGTGTGAGTGAGTGAGTGTGTGTGTGTGGGGGGGGGGGGAGAAGGAAGAAATTCGCCGCCCGGGAAAAAAGATGCGAATCTCCGGAGACAGGTGGAGGAAGCGGCGGCGCTCGGCTTCGGAAAGCGGAGCGTCGCTCAGATCGAAACGATCGAAGCGCGTCTGAATGTTCGCAGAAGGGCAAAACGACCCGGAGGAAGCGGTTGGGAAACCCGACTACCCCCCCCACCCCTTTTACCACTTTGGGCGACTACTTCTTAATGCAGGTAGTCCTCGACTTACAGCAGTTCGTTTAGTGACCGTCCAAAGTTAGAACCGCATTGAAAGATGCGCGTTATATGACCATCTTGCACAGTTAGAGGACCTTGGCAGCATCCTCTTGATCATGTGATGAAAATTCAGATGCTTGGCAACTGCTTCATATTTATGACTGTTGCCGTGTCCCAGCGTTATGTGATCCCCTTTTGTCACCAGTCGGTTCAACGGGGAAGCCAGGGTCACTTAACAACCGGGGTTATGAACTTATCAACTGCAGTGATTTCGGTTAACAACTGTGGCAAGAACGATTGTGAAATGGGTCAAAACTCATGGGGGAGGTTAAAAAAAGTGAAGATGGCAGCTATGACCATGTGATCAAAGCCCCAGGGCGTCTTGGTACACTCCGGGGGGGTAAAAAGGGGGCAGTGCTTTGATCTCATGGCTGTGGCCATCTGCCCCACTGGGCTGGGAATGCTCCATCTGGGGCAGGGGTAGGCAACCTTGGCTCTTTTATGACTCGTGGACTGGCTCAGGAATTCTGAGAGTTGAAGTCCACGAGTCATAAAAGAGCCAAGGTCACTTCCCCTGATTCTGGGGTGTGAATCTTGAAGAAGTTTGACCAGGCTCATTGGTCAGATCATCTCTTCTTTGCCTGAGCAAGTGCACAATCCTTTGTAAAGCATGTGTGTCATGTCCCCTTGTGTGTAAACCTGGAAGGTCATACAGGTAGTCCTTGACTTACAACTGCCATTGAGCCCAAAATTTATGTTGCTAAGTGTTAAGTGGGGTTTGCTCCGTTTTACGACTTTTCTTGCCACAGCTGTCAAGTAAGTTACTGCAGTTGATAAGTTAGCAACCTGGTTGTTAAGTGAATCTGGCTTCCCCGTTGACTTTGCTCGTCAGAAGGAGGCAAAATCACAGGGCCTTGGGACACAGCAAAGTCACAGTCATTCTGCTTCTAGGTCTTTTTCTTCTATTCTGCTGTATTTTTTTCTTCTATTCTGCTGTATCTCCAGCTATAGCACTGTCTACTCTCCAGACTTTTTTTTGCCTTTCTTATCAACAGTTATTAAGTCTGGGGTTTTGTGTGGCACATGCTTGTCTGTTTGAATTCTATAGTGTTATGGTCAGTCTACAATCAGCCATTTCTTCTTATTAAGCACTGTGCCATCTCACACATACTGCCTTACGTATGTGTATTTTTACTGTATTTGGAAGAAAATTATACTGACTTCTGTAGCAATTTCTACTAAGAGCATAAAATTTCAGTGCTAAAATACAACACAGTAAGGCGATATCCTGTTATTATTAATTGAATAATTATTCAATTATTAATTGAACACAATGTTTTGCAAATGATAACTGATGCATTACTTGGGCAATTGATGTAATTTTTGGCTGCATTAATTTTCTATAAAATAAAGCTATCGTTTCTCAGTGTATAAATCCAAATTATAGTTAAGAAGGCCACTTTGCTTTTTTATTATATCGGCATTAAGGGAACATTACTGTATTTCTGCTTGTCTTTTCATGTAGTAAGATCAAGAAATAAAAGTAAAAATACATTGTCTTGCTGGATTGCAGTTAATCGATTATGTACTTAGAAATTTCCTGAAGTTAATAGTTAATGATTGAAGGATAGTATTGTCCTGTGATATGTTTATAATATTTGTTTGGGAATCATACGCATTCATTACTTGATTTTCTTACACAACACTAAGATATTCCAATACCCTTTAACAAATAGTATGTCATTTTCAAAAGTCAGAATGATGTTTGAAAAATGCTAATTATTCACCTATGTTTAGTTTCCTATACTTAAGCAAGATTTTGTTTTTCAATTCCAAGAAATCTTGGAGGATGCTTCAAACTATTCAAATCGGAGTTTAGGTCTGGTGTTGTAACTGAGCACCCTCAATTGCAGTATACAGTGAATTACCCTTCTTGGATGAGAAGCAAAAGAGTTTCAAACAAAAACCAACAAAATCCAGTTTCCTTTAGGAAAAAGCAACTTTGGAAAGCCATGACCTGATTGAGAATCTCCATAGGCATGGTGAACTAGTCACACCTAGAAATGGATTGGAAGTGTGCCGATTCTGGTAAAACTGAAGAATTTATTGCTGGATGAATGAGAGAAAATGAATTTAATCCAGACAAAACAGAAGGATTATTCTATGCTGTTCTGTTCTGTCCTGTCCTGTCCTGTCCTGTCCTACCATACAACCTTATATAGCCTAGTTATATCAATAAGTTTGTTTAAACTGCAAGTAGTTCTTGCTTATCAAAAATAATTGGGACTGGGAACTTTATCACTAAGTGATTTGATAGTAAAGAACAATGTCATGCAGTAACTTAATGATGGCAATTCTGGCAGCTCCAGTTGCTATTGTTGGATGAAATAATAATAATAATAATAATAATAATAATAATAATAATAATGTTAGAAGGGACCTTGGAGCTCATCTAGTCCAACCCCCTGCTCAGGCAGGAAACCCTATACCTTTCAGACAATTGGCAGTCTAGTCTCTTCTTAAAAACTTCCAGTTTTTAAAAACTATCCTGCATAGTTGCAGCATCTAGTGGTCACTTGGTACCCAATTGTGACCTCCTGCTGTCTTTCCCATTGACTTGTTTTGTTGGAAACAACAGCTAAGATTGCAAATAATGATTACACGATTGTGGGATGCTGCAGTGTTATAATTGCGAGCTAGTGGCTGAGCACCCAGATCATAATCGCATGACTTCAGGGACACTGGAACGATTGCAATGGTCACTGAATGACTGGTCTAACTTTGATCACTGAATGAATGGTCGTTAAACAAGGTCTGTCTCTATATACTGAAAGGTCAGAAGCCGTGTAAGTGAGTGCAGAACTTTGGTTGTTGTACCTGCAGTCTGCCAGACCTGCAGACTGCAACATCACTTTGTTCAGCTGCAGTATGTGGGCATTGCCTTTACTTTCAGTAGAGCAGAACATCTGCAAGTTATGAGGGCATAGCAGATTCTGCTCAGAAAAGGAAGAATTAATTCTTGCTTTGGGAACTGTCAGCTTGCTCTATCCTAGTATCCAATGTGAGTTTATCAATGATTTGTTCCTATTTTTAATTGCTTCAGATACTAAAGTATATTCCATCTCTTGGCATCTATCCAAGAGTTATTAAGGATCTTAAAGCTTTGTAGACCTACTAACTTAAACATGCAACCTGTCTCTACATTCAGTTTCTGTAGGGAGGAATGAATCGTGGCCAGTGTAATGTCCATTTTTAAGAAGGGCTGCCAGGGAGATCTAGGAAATTATAGGCCTGTCAGCTTAACATCTGTTCTGTAAGATTTTTATAAAGATAAAATTACCAGATACATGGAGACACCGACTTTTCTCAAGGATACCTCACATGGCTTCACTAAGGGAGGCCCTGTCTAGCTAATCTACTAGACTATTTGAGGATGTTAATAAATATATGGTTACAGGTGAGCAAGGAGACATAATCTACTTAGATAAAAAAGCCTGTGATAAAGTCCCTCATCAACAAGGTCTCAGCCAATTTAACACAGGAGTCTTCAAACTTGGCCCTTTTACGACTTGTGGACTTCAACTCCCAGAATTCCTCAGCCAGGCAGAATTCTTCAGCCAACCTGGGAATTGAAGTCCACAAGTCATAAAAGGGTCAAGTTTGAAGACCCCTGGTTTAACATCTATGGAATAAAAGAGGAGATCCTGAGGATAAGCTAAACTAAGGTTTAGGAATAAAAAAGCAAAATAAATACATGGAAATTTTGTTCAGGGGAAGATGAAATTAGTGGAGCCCCTTGTGCTCTCTTCTAGGGCTGGAATATTTTAAACTATTTATAAATAATCTGGAATCAGACATAGCTGGTGGAACAGGCAAGTTTGGTTAAGGTATTAAGATGTTCAGGATGGTTAAAACAGTGGTGGCGAACCTATGGCACGGGTGCCAGAGGCGGCACTCAGAGCTCTCTCTGTGGGCACGCGCGCCGTTGCCCCAGTCCTAGACCTTCAGCTGGGTTTTATAAAACCTTTTTGCTTTAGGCCTCTGCCGCCATGTGCAAAAAAAAAAAAAAAAAGGTTCAATCACGCAATTTCAAGTTCTCGCGGGAAAAAAAAAAGATTTTGCAAAGTTGGAATTGATTGATTGAACTTTTTAGTCCCACCCAGTCTGCCATTACCACCGCAGCCATGCCTATCCAATGAGCCACGCCCAGCCAATGGGCCATGCCCACCCAATGGGCCACACCCACCCAGCACCCGACGATGCATAACTGGGTTTTGGGTTGCAGTTTGGGCACTTGGTCTCTAAAACAGGGCTTTTCAACCAGTGGTACGGGTACCACCTGTGGTACATTGGCACCTGGCAGGTGGTACGTGACCATCCTAGAAAAGTGGTAGCGAGGCACGGGAATGAGCTGAACCGGTGACAGCACCGCACAAGCCTGAGCGAGAGATGGCTGGAGCTGCAGGGCTGTCAGGGCTCAGCGGAAGCGCCAGGATCAGTACCAGGCTCCAGCTGTAGCTCGGCGCTGATCCTGGTGCTTCTGCTGAGCCCTGAAGAAGCACCAATCAGCTGGAAAGCAGCAGTGATCCTGGTGCTGCTGTTGAGCCCAGAAGAAGCACCGATCAGC